CGTATTTGGTTAGTGTAAAGATGTGCACATATCAGGTGCTCAGTAAAGGCTGCTGAGTGAGCACAGACCCTTAAGGCCTGGAGAATTCGGTGTAAAGTTCATATGACATAGAGTATGAGGAGGAGACCAGACCTGAACTCAGTGCAGATGCTGATCCCACAGTGCTAAGCAATGTCTGTGTGTCTCTTGTCACAGTCTGGATCTTAAGTGTCCCCCAAGGGCCCCATGCTGAAGGCTTGTCCTCGATGCAGCAATGCCAAGGGGTGGGGCCTTTGGCAGGTGAATGGATCATAAGGACTTTGCCCGCATGACTGGATTAATCTGTCGGTGGATTCATGGCTCAATGGGCTCTTGGGAGGTTGTGGAGATGTTAGGAGCAAAGCCTAGTGGGAGGAAGTAGGTCATTGAGGGCTTGGCCTTGAAAGGCATATTTTATTCCCAGCCCCTTCCTGTCTCTTCCTCTCTCCCTTTCCTTCCCAGCCACCATGAACCAAGCAGCTTTGCTCTCCTATGCCCCACTGCCCACCATGATGTTCTACCTTGTCAGGGACTAAAGTAATAGGGCCTGGAAACCGTGAACGGAAGTGCCTGAAACCATGAGCCAAAATAAATCTTTCTTCCTCTTTTTTTTTTTTTTTTTTGGTACCAGGGGTTGAACTCAGGACCATGCACGTGTGAGGCAGATTCGGTGCCACTGAGCTAAATCCTAGGCCCTCTTTTTCCTCTTAAGCTGCTTTTCCTCATGTATTTTGTCACAGTGACCGAAAGCTGCCTAACACCCTTCCCAAGGCCACCATCCCATCCCTCAGTTGGGTACAGACGAAGAAGAAGGCCACATCCTACTCTGACTCTGAGCCCTTCCTGTTCCTATCGGAGGCCCAGAGTCCAGTTCTGTTTACCCGACAAAGCCAACACTTCTGGTTTTATCCACTACACTCAGTAGTTTTTATACTGGCTGGCAAACAAAATGAGGTGCGTGTTGTCATTTTGTGTCTTAGGAAACAAGGCCTGCCAATTACCAAGGCCTCTTGCCTCAATGTGGACAGAGGAAGATTCTCACAGGAAATGGCATCCATTTCGCCCTGTTGCTTTTGCTTATATGGCCGGGTTCTAGTGAAGACAACGATAGTCACCAAGTCCCCTTTTCCAGGAACAGTCCCCATGCTCCCCTGCCAGCAGTCATCAGGCCCTATCCCTGCTTCCAGCTCCACATGCTCTCTATTGCCTTAGGAAAATGCCAGGCCCAGGAAACCAGCTTTGCAGAACAAACTCATTCAGTATTTTTCCAAGTGTCAGAGGCAAAATGTCTACAGCTCATACTCATGCAGTGGACACGTCGGGCACCAGCTGTCGGAGAAATTCTATTTCCATGAGAGGACATATGTTCAGGGTGACCTTAGAATCGCATGAGAACTTGTTAAAAATACAGATTCCCGGGCCTCATCCAGGAACTACTGAGCCTGACATAATAAGCACAGGGCCCAGTAATCTGTATTTTCAAAGAACACCATGGGCCATTCTGCCTTGCAAAGGCATTGCTGTGTGACATCCTGGCTCTGGCCTGAACAGCTGCATTACCTGAGCCGACCGGTACAGCACTTCTCAGCCTCAGTTTCCCAGAGCTGAGGGAACACAGCAATGACCACTCTCTCAAAGGGGTGGGATTGGCTGCAGAGGGGTCCTATCCAGCAACAACACAAATTAAAGTATGATTTATCCCCATTAATGAACACAGCTGAGTGCATTTCAAGGATCTAACAGGGCACCAGGAGAAAGAACACAGTTTCACCTGCAGAAAAGTGCTTACATTTTTAAATACAGTCTCCATGCCTTCGTACATCTCTGTATTCCTTTCAGAATCCAAAGTCTATAGATCTCTTCTCTTCCCAAGCCACCCCATAAATAAACCCTCAGAGGATGCAAATGTGGCAGCCTCTAGAGCCTCCCTCTGAACAGAGCCAGAAGCAGATACACGATCCCCGGGAACAATGAACAGAAGGCTACATTTGCAAAATGGTCAAAAATGAGTCATTTCATTTGTGGAAAACGAACACATCTGATCTTGCAAATGTTTTGCCCTGGGGAAAAAGAGCGTGTATGGATTCCCAAACAGGCTCCTCCTGGAAAAACACACTCGCCTGCTACTGAGGAGGCTAAAACAGATGACCAGAGAGGGGGCTGCTCGAATCCTTGGAGGTTTAGGAAAAATAACTGCACCGAGCAGGGTGTGGGGGTAACTGAGGGCTGGGGTGGTCTCAGAATTTGTGACATCGGTTCCTGGCATGCATCAGCACCTTCCCTAGGCTGAAAACATCCAGGGTAGGCCTCAGCCACCATACTACTGCACCCCTCCACGGCTGCTTGGTGAGGGTCTGTTATACACAGGTGGGGGTCTCAGCAGGGTGTGGCTCCACCTTTCTCTTTTCCTTCCAGTTTAATGGCCTGAAAACACTGATGAGCCCTGAATCCAATGAGACCCATTAGGTACCACGCACATAATCTGTGAACCGCATCTGCCCAGGGTTCCCAGCAATACCAAGCTGAATCTATGTCAGGGACGTCCCCTCGGGCCTGCTTTGGGTTGGCAGGTGCTGGCACCTTCTGTCCATGACCCTGGGCCCTCGTTCCTGCCCTGTGTGTCTTGGGATATGGTTTATGTCTAGACTTCCAAGACCCTCTTGCACTCACAGGCAGGGCTTTGGGAAGGTGGCTGGATTAAGGGGCTGACAGCTGCCTCGCTGGGGGCGGGGCCCGGTAGGAAGAGGTAGGTCAGTAGGGTGTGGCCTGGGAGGGTGGCTCTCATTCTCTGGCTCCTCCCTTCTTTCTCTGCTTCCCAGACACCTGTCATGAGTAGCTCTCTTCCCCTCTGACACTTCCACCAGGAAGTTTTCTCCGTTTGAGCCCAAATAAACCTCTCCTTTGAGTGGAGGCTGTGGGGTACTGTGTGTCAGTGAGGAGGAAACAATGAGATGAATGCTCAAATCTCTAGGACAACACGCTGAGGGAACTGGGCTATTATAAGCCAGGACCAAATGCTGCAGAGCATCACCAGGGGCTGCCTCGTCAGCCCCAGATTCCCTCAAAGCTCCAAGGAGGAGCTGGGCTGGGGGCTCCAAGAAAGGCATTCGTGCTGGGTGACGGGTGGAGCGCGTTCCAGGAGGAAAAGCATCTGACTTGTCCTCCCTGGCAGAGCCAGGTGGGAATCACTGGATGCATTTGGAAGAGTGGCTGGCAGCTGTGCAGTGAGCATGAGGTGCCCCAGGAAGGTGGCAGACACCCTGATGCCCAGGAGGGGGCACTGGGAGTGCGTGGCTACAGCAGACAGCGACAGGAGCAGAGGGTCACTGCCACACTGGGGTCTAAGAGAGGACAGAGAAGCCAAGAAAGAAGCTCAGCTGATTGGGAGCCCTCATGGACACTTCCCTGGGGCCCAGAGCTGGCACTGTCCCAGAGGGATGCCCTGGGGTCAGGAACTGAGTGGCCAGGGGCTTCTGGTTCTAGAAAAGGGCAGCCCTTTCTACTCTCCCCTCTTCACTCCAGCTCCTGGTTGGAGGTTGATAAGAGACCCAGACTTTCTTCTTAGGTTCTTTTTTGAAATAGGGTCTCGCTATGTAGTGCAGGCTGCACAGCTCTTGAATTCACTACGTAGCCCAGGCTGGGCTCAATCTCATGGTGATCTTCCTGCTTCAGCCTCCTGAGTGCTGGGATGAGAGGCGTGTGTCACCATACCTGGCTAAGGCCATTCCTTCCTCCACCTCATAGCCAGCCAGTCCTTACCTTGGGTCCTGGCACACACTGCTGCCCCATGAAAATGCCCTCCCCTTTCCCTCTCCAGGGCTCCATTCCACATCACCTGCCTGGCAACCACTGTCGGAGTCCCCAGCACAGGCAGTGCCAGGGCTGGTGGCCGTGGGCAAGCATCCTCTCACCATCCCCAGCTCCTCCATTCTCCACACCCTCAGGAATGAGAACCACGCTCCGGTTACAGGTGACAGCAGACATCTCTGTAAGAGGCCCGCGATTCCCCAGGGGGACCCTTACAGGACGGCCTCAGACAAGTGGCTGTCATCATGGGTGACATGTGCCACCACATGGGCCCAGCAAGATTAAACATTCTTCTGTTTCCTACCCAAAAGTAGCAGGGACACGCACACTCCTGCACCCTGCTCATTCACGGACAGCGCGTACGTTCCAGAACCCCCTCCCTGTTGGCACACCGTTCAGGAGCCCCAGCCCAGCCCCCACCCCACTACTCTCCCTGGCTCCTGCCCTCCCTGCCACTTCCCCTGCACCCCAGGATAGAATCTGGTCCCCATGCTGAGTCCCCAGCAGCCACCCTGTCACCAGAGGACCTCACACATGTGACACCCAGCCCCTGCCTGGGTAACATCTTGTCTCCCGGGCCTGGCCACAGAGCCACACTCACCAGCTGCCCCAGGGCACCCCAAACCCAGGGCCCACCTGCTGCCAGTGGGGTTCTGGGGTCCATGGGATCTTACATTGCCTCTCTCCCTTTCGTTTTCTACCCCACAGCCTTTGGGGTCCCTGGACCCTCCCCTGACACCTCCCCATTTGCTGAGGCACTGAAGCCCCGCTCAGACTCGACTTCCCGGTCCAGTCCCTGTCACCCTTGGAGACCCTCTCCATGTTCCTTGCCCTGTGGGGACACCCACAGCATCCGATGTGTCCCCAGCCTGCCCAGCCCTAGGGATGTCAAGTGTAGAAGCTCTGGCCCTAGGCAGGTCACAGCTTAGGCAAATGGTCCACCCAGGGTCCCCAGCAAGGAGGAACAACCATCCCTGCAGGTGACCTCCCCGGGGGACAGAAAGCCCTGCAGGGAGCTGGCGCTCTTGCTCACACAGGCCTCTGAGGACCACGCCACCGAGGTCCTAAGGCAGCAGCCAGGACTGAGCGACCCACTGGGGGAAGCAAAGCACATGGTTTCACAAAGGCCACCACTCCCAGGACGGACGGACGGACAGAGTGGGGGTAACACGTACCTGACACTGCGGGAGCTTTCTCCTTCAGACCTGCAAAGAGAAAAACACACATTTAGATGCCAGTGTTCTCTGTTCCCCGGGCCCTGCAGGAGGCCACTCCTTGCAGGGACACATGCGGTTCCCAGCTACCCCTGTGTCCCTCTCCCGCTGCCCCCAGGTCTCTCTGCAGTTTTCTCCTGAGCCCTCCCTGAACAAGGCCTCCTTCTGGAAGCCCTCAGGCTCCACTCCCACCCCTCCCCGCATCCATGGCCTCCACTATTGTTTCCTGGGGCCTGAGACACCCGGGAGTCGGGAGTCGGTGACAGCCCTGGAAGGGCTTGTGGCTCCAGCACTCTGCACAGGGGTTCTGCAGGGCAGTGAGTGAACGAAAGGGTTGGGGAAATGGGAATGGCCTCCCTGCACCCCTATTTGGTATTTCCAGAGTTCTTTCCCATGGCCAGGTCTATTTGCAAGCGCCCCAAAATCAATTTCAACCACTTTTCAAAGGAGACAGGCTTAAATGTCAAGAACCTGAGCAATGAGATCGCATCTCACACTTGAACTTGCCCAGAGGGGTTTAGTGTTCAACCCCGTGCAGTGGACGGAAGCCTTGGCTGGGCTTCCGGGTCTTAAAGTGAAAAGGCCCACAAATACGCATGGTCACACTTAATCCCCGAGTGCCCGACGTTGGATGTTCATGCCAGACAGCAGTACAAATGTTGTTTCAGACAAAGGCAGTCGACTGTCTTTCTGCCTATCGCCTTTCCAGGAATGTGGTGCGAGCACACACAGCACACTCCGGAGGGCTCATCCACCCACCTTTGGGACCAGCCTGGGCCTCCCAGCACCCCTAGCCTCCAGACCCCCAGTAGGTGCCTGAAACCTCAGCTAGCACCAAACCCCAAATTTACTGCCTTTTCCATATTAACTAAGCACCTAGTACGCGCTATGGCCATACACATTGCAGTATGAGGTACAACAGCAATGAATCTTCTTTTCCCTTCTTCACAAATGCACAGGCAGATTTCTTTTCTTTTTTTCACTTTTCTTTTTTTGAGACAGGGTCTCACTATGTAATCCAGGCTGGCCTCGAACGCATGGCAAGCCTCCTGCCTCGGCCTCCCGAGAGAAGGTTCATTTTTACCACAGATCTTGGCAACTTTGGCATAGGATTTTCTTTCCTTCCCCAGTAACTTGAGAACTTTCATCTTTCCACTTTTTGAAATACCTTACAGCTTCTATTTTTCCTATCTGAATCATCAGTACCACTTCTCTTGTGCCCTGAGGTCATTATTAAGTTAAATGAGGGCCACTGGAACACAAGGCTCCACCACTGCAGCAGTCGCTCTGATAACTGAGACAGCCAGGAAGTGACTTCGAGGGAGTCACAGACACCGTGTGGATCTAGTGCACAAAGGATGATTCGCATCCCCCAGCAGGAAGGGGCAGGACAGCATGATTTCATCAACTACTCAGTGTGAGATTTAAACAAATGAAGCACTTTTCTCTGGATTTTTCCATTTGCTATTTTAGACGGGGGTGAATCACAGCTAAATAAAACCCAGAAAGTAAATCTGTGCAAGAGGAGATGACTGTAGTCCCAGTAAGTGCACTGCGGGAGCCTGAGTGTGGCCCTTGTTCCGGAAGGACAGTGAACTCCTTCCTGCCCAGGGATTTCATGTGGGACTCAGGGCAGGGCAGCAGGGTCACACCGGCCCTACACCAGCAGGGGAGGTGCCCACAGGACATGGGGGGGCCTAGGCCTGGGGTCCTCTTGCCTCCAGAGGTCAGGTGACAAGGTGCTGATGCTCCAGCCCCCAGCACCGGAAGACTACAGAGCCACTGTTAGGAAGCAGAAGCAACAGACTGACGGTGAAGGCATCCCCGGAGGACAGACAGGAAGTTCCTGTTTCGGATTTTTGTTTTCATTTGGTCATTTGCCTGGACAGAAGAGAAAGCAGGCAGAGGCTGAGTGTGTGTGTGTGTGTGTGTGCACCCGCGCGCGTGTGTGTTCATTCTAATAACTGTTTCACACGCCTTGCCTGGCTGTTTTAGGGGTGACTCCAGCTGTGGGTTTGGCTCAGATGTTTGCTGTCTTAGCTGGACATTTTGGGGTCCATTGACAGCTCATGCAGTCCCCTCCCAGCACTTCCTCTTTCCATCATGCTGTCCCGTGGCCCTGATTCGAACCCTGGCAGTGCTGTCACCGTGTGTTTGCTATCTGTCTGCTTGCGAGGGGCAGGGAGGCCTCTGGGTCACTGCTGGGCTCACACCAGGCACGGGTTCCTTGCTCAGTGGCTGAGGCACAGCAAAGCCAGCCAGGCCAGGGGCTCAGTAGCCCGGGACAATGAAATCTGCCTTAAGTCATTTTCTTGTCACTGAGACACAATACCCACCACCCTACACTTAAAGGAGGACAGGTTTATTTTGGGCTCACGGTTTAGAAGTTTCAGTGCTTGCATGGTCAGGGTGGAAGGGCCTGGATGGAGGAGAGGGGCTCGTGTTCTGGTGGCCAGGAAATAGAGAGAGAGATGGAGAGAGGAGCTGGGAAGGGAAATAAAACCTTCCGGGTCAGCCATGGCGACCCACCTCTTCCAACTAGGCCCCGTCTCCCAACAGCAAGCCAGCTATAAGCCCCCCAATCCGATCACCTTCCAAGGGTCCTGCCCGTGAGCTCTGGGGGACATCAAGACATAAATCACAACGAAAGGCCAGGGAGCCACACAGGCTCCGAGCTCATGGCATCTCCTGGCCACAGCCCAGCAATGGGGAACCCCTGCCTGGCTCCCACATGGCCTCGGAAGTCACTGAATCCTCCACTTTCTCAGATGTGGATTAGGAGGGACAGCAACAAGCAGCCCCCAAGAGTGTGGCAAGGCAACAGCCCAGGCGCCCAATGCCAAGCCGCTGGCCAATCAGGCTGCTTCTCCGTCACCTGCCTGCAGATGCCACTGGACAACGTCATCCTGCCCAGCCGTGAGGTTTGGACAGAGGCAGGCGGCCTCCGGAACAGGCCAGCATGGAGCGGGCCAGGACCCCTCTGCACCGGGAAGTTGTGACCAAGTGGCTTGTGCCTCCCCCAGCAGCGCCGACACGTAGGCCAGCTTGCTAAGCAGTGCAGGTGCAGCACACTCCGAAGACGGCCTTGAGTGCCGCTGCACTGCAGTGCTGGTCCTAGGGCGGGAAGGGCAGTGTGAGGCCAGGGAGCTGGGCAGAGCCTGGGGATGGCGGCCCTTCTGGGTATGGATGCTCGAGGCCACAGAAGCAGCCCTGAGCCCCGGTACCTGCTGCCCAGGGACTGTCTCCAGCAGATCTTGCAAAGACAGGATGACACTGGCTCAGACACAGATCTGGAGGGGAGGACACTGGTCAAGGTTAGTGGAAGGGGAAAGCAGGGGAGGAGAAGAGGCAAGATGGTGTCAGTGCCGGCTGGCATCGGGCTGCCTGTCACCTTGGGGAGTCCACCATCATGACCAACCCGGAAGCTGTGGACACCTGTGCGGGAAGAGCCCTCACCCCACGGCCCTGCAGTGGGGCACTGGCTGAAGGCTGGCCCTGGAGGTGGCACATCTCCACATTCCACCTGCCTCCCAGGTCACCAAGAGCTCCACCAGGCAAAGAAGACCAGTGGACATCGGGCTCCTGTGCATGGAGGCAAGTACAGCTATGTCTGCAGATGTGGAGGCTCCAGGTCAGCACCTGTGGAGACATGGCTTCCAGATGGAGAGGGTGGACATGGGCCACACAGGGAAGGGTGGTGCAGAGAGGACAGAGGCTTCTGCTTCTCCCGCAGCAGCACCTGGCTCTGCCTTCCAGGCTTGAGTTCACAGGTGGTAGGGTTTGCATCCCAACCCTACGGGACAAGCTTTGTAGACAGTCCTAGGGTTGTTCTCAGCTCTGGGGGATCCAAACTTGTTCCCCTCACAGTGCTGGAATCTTAGTCCTAACATCAGGAAGGACTCAGCTCAAGGTAGCAGAAGGGATTCTGTCACTTGCAACCAAGTGCCAGGACTGATGCCAACACAGGTGTTGAAATCACCTGTAGTCTTCGTGTGGTGAAATACAGAAAAGCATAAGAAAAACAAGTGAAAGTCACGTGTCATTCTACCACCTGGAGGAAATCACTGTCATATCTTCATGCGCACACCTGGGCTTTGTTTTCTACCCAAGTTTTGCTATAGTGGAAGTAACACGGCGACATCATTCTACACCAGCCTTACTTACCTACCGTGGATTAAAACTGTCACTGTCACCTTGGCCACAAGGCTTTCCTTCCTCAGCTCCTAGACCAAGGCAGACTCCGCTCCATCTACTCTGGAGAGTTGTTACCAGAGAACAAAATCCAAATTTTACCCTCAGCCCACGTGGCCCACTAGTTCTGGCCCTGGTCCTTTCCGCAGCTTGTTAGGGTTGCAATCTCCGCCTGGCTGCCCGCTCAAGCCCTGTACCACCCACTCCATCCCCTCCACAGCTCGGCACCCAACTCCAGCAACTTGGAAACAGCTATTCCCTCTGCCTGAAAGATTTCCACCACTGCTCATCTCAAAAATGCAATCTCATAATAAGTCTTCCCTGTACCGCCCCCTCTCCACTCCTGGACAGCCCTGTATGCCCACCAAGTTCTCTACCACCTCACCCCATTCATACTCGGAAGGTGGGGCATGAAACTGTCTTGTTTGCTGACTGTCTTCCCAAATAGAATGGCAGCTCTAATGGGGCAGGCACGGTGTCTGTCTTAGGTGGTTTTTGTTGTTATTTTGTTTTGTTTTCAGTGCTGGGGATCCCAGTGAGCCATACCCATGGCCCTTTTTTGATGTTTTATTTTGAAAAAGGGTCTTGCTGAGTTGCCTAGGCTGGGCTCAAATTAGCAATCCTCCTTCCTTGGTCTCAGAGCAGTGGGCGAGCTCCTGCAAAATTCTTGTAAAGCACCATTCAGGATGGCAGTGTAACAGCCAGCGTGCACTGTACTATACTCGCTTCATGCTACTTTATTTGTGCACCTGTACTAGCTTCTGATTATAAACAATACAAGAATGAACATCTTCATGTCT